GCCGCCTGGACAGGGCACCCCGAAGGCACGCGCTGGTGGGGGAGCAAGGAACTGAGGGACAACGCCAGGCCGCTGGGGGGCAGTGCTGTGGGCCCCACCACCCCTGCCGCATCCGCCCGCGCCAGCCCGAGGCTTCTGAACGAGATGACCGCCCAGGCCACAGGCCGCAGGTGCGGGGGGGCCCACAGCTGGTGGCCTCCTTCCCGCTGCTCGCTCCACCGCCGGCCACCAGGGCCTCAGGGCTCGTGGGAGCGCCAGCCTCTGCTCCAGGACAAGCATGAGCTCTCCAGGCCAGCCTCCCATGGGTTTGTCCTGCAGGGACGCCCACCTGCCCGGGCCCCTGGCGTCTCTGTCCCCCAGGAGGAAAACCAGTGTTTGTCTTCTCCCGTCTGACTCATTTCACAAGCGACCTCCCGGTTCTTCCATGTTGTTGCCAAGGGCAGTATTTCATCTTCCACAGCTGCGTGTTACTCCTCGGCGTGCAAACACCGGCTCCCCGTCATCTGCTCACCTGCGAATGGGCACGAAGCTTGTTTCCAGGGGCTGGCTACTGTGACTCATTCTGCAATGAACGTGGGGGCGTACACATTGCTCTGAATTCCTGTTTTTGTATTTTTTGGGCAAATACCTACACGTGGACGACTGGATCACATAGGGTTTCTGTCCTTGATTTTTTTTAGAAATCTCCGTATCCTTTCCACAATGGCTGCCCATTTTACACTCCCACCGTCCGTGCACAGGAGTATAACTCCCCCACCTGCTCACCCACCCTTGTTTCCGGCCCTCTGGGTGACAGCCCTGCTCCCAGGTGGAGGTGCTCCCGAACAGGAACACAGACCCACAGGTGGAGGAAGAGCAGCAGAATGTGAGCGGTCCTTGCCTCCAGCAGGGAGTCTGAACTCAGCTCAGTCCTGACACCACATGCTGGGGACAGCGCCAGGCTCATTGCTGAGGCCCAGTCCTCGGGCAGCCCTCCCCGTCCAGTGTGGACACGGTCCACAGTTACCTGGGCTTCTTGCCAACCAGCCGCAGGTGGGAGGGCCCCGTGACTGCCCCTCGGAGGTCAGGGCCTGTTCCAGGCCAGGTACTATCTGTGTTTCTGACAGCGGGCATGGGCCAGAATGTCCCAGGACACCCCCTCGGCGTGAGCTTGCAAGAACGGCACATGGAACGCAGAACATGCTGCTCACTAGATCTCCCATTTACTGTGAAGGACACTCGGGGACACAGACCCACAGGCGGAGGAAGAGCAGCAGAGTGTGAGCCCTGGGAAAGGTGTGCGTTTCCCTGACCTCTCCAGGCACACCATGCCCCCCCAGTCCTCACCTGCTCACCATCCAGGGGTCCCCACAGCCCCTCCCCGTGGGTAGTTAGCAAGGCGTCATGATGGGCAGGAGGGCCTGAGTTGCTGGCCACTCGCAGCCGAACTCGACCTCCAGCCCCTCTCCTCTTTTGAGGGGCCTGGGCGTGGGCGAGCAGCCGCAGGTGCTTCCCCAAAGTTCCCCTGCTAACGAACAAGAGACGCCTTCAACACTTTGCATACACGGGAAATGCCAAGGCTCCGGGGGACCAAGAGACAGGACGACTGGATGAAGATCAAGGGTATACGAGAGACAGGACCTGCTCACCTGAGTCACCAACATACGTATTTCCATACGACCAGCATCGAGAGGCCCCTGCCAGGACGTGTGGCCCAGACACGCCGCCCCACCCAGTGGCGGCCTTCTCGCTGGGCAGAGGGCTCTCGGCTGGTAATGCTGGCGTGGGGTGGCTCCGCTCGTTTGCTTCTGCTCCTGTTTCCCTGCTGTTGGGGACAGATCCGCAAAAGCAGACCAAAGCAGCGTCACCGAGCTCATCCCTGCTCGCGTCTGTGCGTTCAGCACGTCCAGGCTACACTGAACGCATTTGGTTCTGGTCTATTGTCTGTGTGTGTTTTCAGTCCAATGCCCTGCCGTTTCGGATGCTGTTGCTTCGCAGTGTAGGCAGAAGCCAGAGACAGTGACACCTTCGTTCTGTTCTTGTGCTCAGCTGGTGATGGCTGGGCTGCGGGGTGTCTTGTTCCCCAGCAATCGCATGATTTTCTGTTGTCCTTGTTCTTTTCTCGTGAAGAAAGCTCCTGGGGTTCTCACAGAGACCTGCCCTCAGGGCTCACGGTTCGAGACAAAACGGCCACTTGAACCGTGACCTTCCCACTCACGAGCACAGGGCGCCCGCCCCTTCACAGGCGGCCTCTTTCCCCTCAGCGGGCCTGTTTTCTGCGCAGGTGCCTCCTGGTCCTTTACTCCCAGGCACTTTCTTCTTTTCGGCGCGATTGTCAGCAGGATTGTTTCCGTGCTCTCGCCTCGGCTTGCCCGTCGTCGGCATGCGGAAACGCGACCGGCTTTTGTGCGCCGATTTCGCGGCCTGCAGCTTCCCTGTGCTCGTCACTATTTCTAACAGTTTTGTACTTTTTAAATGGACTCTTGGGGCTTTCCGGGCATGAAACCACGTCTCCCGCACCAGGGACTCTCCTGCTCGGGCGTCTTCCGCCCTGACTCGTTCCTGCCGCGCTCCTGCGGCCCGGGCGTCCGTCTGCGCGCGGCCCGCGGCGGGGGCGTCCTCGCGCCTCCCTTCAGGGGACGCCGCGGCTCCCCGGCCGCCCCAGGGCCTCATGAGGGGTCGCAGGCGCGCGCGGTCCGGCCTCCGGGCCGGCGGGCAGGGCCTGCTCCGGGCCGCCCCCCGCTCCTCCCCGCTCGCTGCTGCGACGTGTGGGGCGCGGGGCTGTGCTCGCGGGGCGCTGTGCTCGCGGGGGGCTGTGCTCGCGGGGGCGGCGGAGACGGGAGCGGCGTGGGCGCGTGACGTTGGCGCGCGGCGCGTCTGCGTGAGGCGCGTCTGCGTGAGGCGCGTCTGTCTGAGGCGCGTCTGCCTGAGGCGCGTCTGCGTGAGGCGCGTCTGCGTGAGGCGCGTCTGCCTGAGGCGACTGCCCGACCCCGCGCCTCCCTCGGGGCTCGCACGCCGGTCGCGGCTCCGGAGACGATCCCGGCGGGTCAGGCCGCAGCCCCCGCCCGCAGACGCGCCTCCGTGTCCAGCCCCGGCGCGGGCAGACGCGCGCAGGCCCACCGCGGGGCGCGTCCGGCCGGGCGTGGGGCGCGCGGCCGTGTCCAGGGCGCGTCCAGCCGGCGCGCAGACGCCCACGGGAGCCGCCGGGAGCCGCCCGCAGCCGCGCCCGCCGCAGGCTCGGCCGCTCGCCTCCACGAGCCCCCACGGGGCGGCGCCGGGGCCGCCCCGACCCCCGCGGCCGTCCACGCGGCCGCCGCGACAGCGCCCCGGGCCGAGGCCCCGGCACGCCGGGCGGGGAGAGGCCTGTGGCCGCGGCCGCCGCCAGAAGCCCCGCCGCTCCGGCAGCGAGGCCGCCCCGCCCCGCGCGGCCGTGACTGGCCACGTCTCTGGCGACCCGCCCGCGGCCTTCGCGCAGGGCCCGGCTGGCCGCGGCCCCCGGCGCCACCCCGGCCGCGGAGCGGGCCCCCCCCCGGCCCCCCGAGCCCGGCGCCGCACTCCCGGGTCAGACCCGCGCCCCGAGACCGAGACGCTGCGCCCCAGAGTGCCTCCTCCCCCGTCCCGTCCCTCGGCCGGGCCGGCAGCGGGGCCTCCAGGGCCGCCCACCCCCCCGGCCTCGGCAGCTTCATCGCAAAGGCGGTGACTCGACGCGGAGGCGGCTGGTGGGCGGGGCAGGGGCGGGGCGGGGCGGGGCCGGCGGGGCGGGGCGGGGCGGGGCGGTGGGCGGGGGCGTGGCAGGGGCGTGACCGACGGGCCGGGGGCGGGGCCGGGGCGGGGCGGGCGGGGCACGCCGCCCACGCAGCCCGGCCGGGAACGCGCGCAGATGCGGGCTGGGCCCAGACCGCTGACCGCGCAGGCGCGAGCGGGATCGAGCCGGCGACCTGCTCGGGCCGCGTCCGTGGACCGGCCGCAGCAGCAGGGAGAGGCGCAGATCAACAGGCGGAGCCCCCCGCGCCGGCATCCCCAGCCGAGAGCCCAGCGGGAAGGCGGCCCGGGGCGGGGCGGCGCGTCTGGCCACACGTCCGGGCAGGGGCCCCTCCATGCTGGCCCTGCACACCCGAGGGTCTGCCGCGCCGCCCCGTCCTCCAGCCCGTCCCGCCCGGGCCCGCGCCCCCCCTGGCGCTCCGGCCGATGCCCACGTCCTCCGCCAGCACGAAGCGGGAGCTGCGGAGTCCGCGTGTCCCCCAGGCGCGCCCTCGGCGGGCGACTGCCCCTGCCCCGGGTGCCCTCGCGGCTGGGCCAGAGAAAGGCGCCCCCGCCGCGCTCGGGCCGCCTCACCCCCACCCCGAGGGGCCGCCCGGAGCTCCACAGCAGCGCCCAGGCTGTGGGGCCGGGGGCACCAGGGGGACCCGGAGTCCAGCCTGCGCTCGCGCCGCCTGGACGCAGCACAGGGGCCGCCAGGGCCACCGCCACGGGGTCGAGGCCCAGGGCGCGTGTCCTGACCGAGCCAGCTTGCTCTGTGGTCACCACATCGCGGGGAAGAGCTGCTTGGGGCACCCGCCCCACCAGTGCCCGGCAAGCCTGGCACCCCCGGGAGCAGAAGCGGACGCTGCGGCCACTGGACCCTACCCCTGCGCACAGGAGCCGGCGTCAGAGGGCGGCTCGCCAGCTCCAGCCTCCAGCGCTCCTCCTGGGCCTGGGTCGGGGCCTCGCGTGGGTGCGGCTGCGAGGCAGGAAGCGCCGGTGCCCAGCCCCTAGGGGGTCGCCAGCGAGGGCCTGGTGTGGCCTGGGTTCTCTTAGGAGGCAGAAAGACCGCAGGACGCCTGTGTGGCCCCCGTGGATAAGCTAAAACCCAGGATCTGGGGCGACAAACACGCCAGGTCTGCACGGTGGCTTGTCCATTCGCACCCTCTGTGGGCTCCCCCCCCCCCCCGGCCAGCCATTTCACAGCAACGGCCAGCCCCGCCACGCCCAGGGACACCCACGTCCTCCGGCTGCTCTGGGGAGAGGCGTGGCCACCCTACCTGCAGTCCTGGCCACGTCGGCGGCCGTCACGTTCCGGCCATTGGGGCTGACAGTGAAGGTGACCGCGGGTCCCAGGACGCTGGAAGACACCACGAAGAAGGGCTCAGCGCCGTGTGGCCGTCTGCCCGGGGTGCACCCACATCCGCCACCCCGCAGCCCCCGCCCACCCGGGGCGCGCGCCCCCCAGCCCCCAGACTCCAAGAGGGGCTTGCAGAGCCGCTGGGGAGCTTCCAGGGCTGAGAAGCAGCAGGAGGTCAGAGTCTGGCATTTTTAAAATTCCCTTGAGGGAAACAGTTGCAACCCAGCAGAGTCATCAAGAGCTGGTTAGTACAAGCGGCGGCCAGACAGGAACTATTCACAATTTTTGAAGTTTTTAAAATACTTGCGGCAAACACTGCTCGTGCTCTGGCCTGGCTGTACTGAGCTGCCCGCCACGCACCCCTGACTGGAGGGTGGGCGGCCCCAAGGGCCGGGGCAGGGCACTGAGAACCCGCCGGCCCCGCCGTGCTCCCTGCAGCGGGCCGGCCGCGGAGCTCTCAGTGGGAGAGGAGCCGTGGGTGACTGCGGTCAGCAGGGCTGGGGTGCTCCCACTGGGCAAGGTGAGGGACATGTGCAGCTTCACAGAAGGAGCCCCCCAGCCCACCCACTCCTGGGGCCTCCTCTGTGGGCCGCGCCCCCGCAGGGTCCCCAGGGCGCCTCCGCCCCTCCTGGTGAACGAGCCACAGCCCAAGGCTTTCAATGGTCCTGGGGCTCCCCCATAGGTCTCAGACCGGGCACCCCTACCGAGCTGCCCACTTTACTACATCAAAGTCCCTGCCCAGCGCCAGCCCCAGGCCTCCTGGCTGCACGGTTGTGTCCCTGGACAGCTCAGGCCTGGAGACAGCGCGTGCACCCCTGGCAGCAGGGTCCTGCGTGCTCGTGCGCCCCAGGGGTGGAGGGGGCCCTGTGTGTGCGTGCCCCAGGCTTCTCAGGGGTGTGGGGTCAGGCCAAGGGCCACCCGGGACAAGCGCCCGTGGCACGACCGGGTCGGGCCTCGGCCGGAGCGGGTCAGACACAGGAGATCCCAAACCAGTTTAGTAGATGAACACTGGCAAGAGGTCCCGAGGGGGCTGGTGGGGCGGGGGAGGCCACTCCAGGGCCCACCCTCATGCCCCCCACATTCTCAGGTGGCAGCTCCAGTTGGCACCGCCCCTGCTCTGCGGCCCCGTGGCACTCGCTTGGCCCATTCGTCGTCACGTTGCAATGAAGCCTCAGCCCCAGCAGCGCTACTCATGGCTGTCCCAACAGCAAGCCGCTGCCCCACAGCCCCCCACTGGGGTGTTTGCACCCACTTAGCATGTTGCTGCCTCACGTGGTGCCCTGGTGTGCCGGCCCCACACACACCGGTGTCCACAGGGGCCGTGATTCCAGCGATGCAGCCAGGCCTGGCTGTGGTGCACGGCTCCTCCTTGGTGGTCTCCTGGGCAGTGTCTCTCTGCTGTCCTTGGCAAGAGCCGCGGGCGCCCTGACCCTTCCCTCCCAAAGTGGGGCCTGGCGGGGCCCAGACGCACTCACACTCACCTGGAGGCGCCCAGGATGCCCGCGGGCAGCTCCAGGAGGCCGGCCACGCGCTGCAGCAGCTCGGTCGCCTGTGCTGGTCCCAGGGGGCTGTGGGGAGAGAGGGGAGCTGTCAACTGTGCCCCGGCCACTCTGCTCTGTCTCCCACTGTGTCGCAGGCCCAGATGCCCATGAAGGGGGAGGGAGGGGGCGCAGGTGCCGCCCGGCTTGAGCAGGACGCGCCTGTGGGCGGCCCAGAACCCCAGTTTGGCTCGGGCCTCCCAGAGCACATGGCATCGGGGATACCAGCGTGCCCCCCGATCACCCCCGGGGACAATGGGAGGAAAATGGGGACAGCTCAGTATGTGAGGCCTGAGACGCCGTGGCTGCCCCTTCCACCCGGACTAGCAAGGACCTCGAGGGTCGGGAACAGAGGAACGGCGGCAACTCCCTGAAGGCCTCCTCTGCTCACCGCCAGGACTGTGTGTGCAAACTGCCGGGTTAACGCTCACGCCGGCCCTGTGCAGAGCCGCCCTTAGCCTCAGAGATGAAGCCCAGCGCGCGCTACAGGTAACCCCGCGGGAAAAGCCAAGAAGGGACCGCGGGATGCGGTGCCTCACGCCGACGCCCAGAGCCTCGCTGCAGCTTCTCCCCGGCTCCTCGCAGGTGTCACTCGCTGGCTGCGGGCCAGGTGAGCTCAAGCTAAGGACAGCCGTCCTGGCCTGGGCATCCCTGTGCAGCGGACACTCACACCCTGGACTCTCGCTCAAGAGCTGACCGTGTGCGTCTGGTGCTTTACTTCCCGACTGTAGACATTTTACTATTGATTTGCAAATTCACTCAAGGTGGAAGCAGAGGACAAAAGGCAGCAGGATGAAAGGGAGTCAACTCTGCAACACACTTGTCTGGTAAGACGATGCCTGAAAGCAGCGGTGAGGGGGGCTGATGATGTGCTCACCCCATGTCCTAGGCACCCCCACACTCACTGTGCCAAGAGTGACGTTCCTTCCTTTGCAAGGAATTAAAGCTTTTGCTAACCCGCAGGAATCCTCCCCGTGCTCAGAAGTGATGCTTCTGATGAAGGCGGTGGCAGGGTAGAGGGGAAACAATGACCCCAAATTCCAAGTTGGCACCAAGCTGAAGCCCAGCGCTCTCAGCGCACGCGTGAGTGGGCGGCAGCCGCGGGCCCAGGCTGGCTCTGACCCCCACAGCGTCCTACGGCAGCACGGACCCCCCGGCACGGGCGCTCCTGAACATCGCTTATTGGTAAGTTACAAACCGCCATCGAGTCTTCACATGAATAATCCACAGATGAAGAGCCACTGTCAGCGAACACCTTGTTGCTTTTCCACCTCATGCTACGACTGCACTTTTCACTGTGAATATATTTATTTCCCCAGATCTCTCGGATAAAAACATTGCCGACAGCTTAATACGAATATAAGTAGACGCTGTCTTGGAGTCACGTTTATAAAAAGGGTGTTGACATCAAAAACATGAAATGGGGGCAGTGTAAAAATGTAGTGTTTGTCTTCCAAGTTGAGTTTTATCCGACGAAGACAAACTGTTATAAACACAAGCTACTGCGCTAAGACTCTGGTTAACGCAGCGGAGAGCCCCCGGCAGATGCTCTCAGGACAAGGACAGGGGAAGCAGCCGCTGCTGAGCGCCCACACCCCCGGGGGAGAGACGGGATTCAGAGCCATCGGAAGTGACTGGCAACGGTAATAACACACCCGCCGACAGGCGCTTTACATGCAAATGGATTAAATGTGATCGAAAGATGAAGACTAGGTAAATGACCAAAAGCAAGCAAACCAACAAGAGCCGGCTATTTGCTGCCTCCGAGAAACCCATTTCCGCTTGAAGGACGCACTGAAAGGGAAGGAACGGAGGAAAACACGGTCCAGGAAAACGGGAAACAGAACCGGGGACAGCCGTACCCACGTCAGACAGAAGAGACTTTTGGACAGAAATGGTAGCACGAGACAGAGCAGGGGTTTGAAGTGGTTACGTGTGTGATGGGAACGTGGTGGCCACTTTGCGCGGGGAGGGAAGGACGCGGCCGCCGGGAGCAGGCGTGCCCGGCAAGACTCTGCGACTGGAGGGGAAGTTCTTGTGCCATTTTTTGAAAGCACGCGGGCAGGGGGAAGCTGATCATGTGGCAGCGCGTAGGAATAAGGTCTGGGGGCAAACAGGGACAAAGTTTTATGAGGAACAGAGAAGGGGACACTGTGGTCATACGTCGTGAGACACCCGCATCAGCAAAACCTTTGGTGTTATCACGGGCAGAGTTCGCCGAGACCAGCATGGAGAGAGTCACGTCATCAGGTCAACGGCGGCCTGGGCTCCCCGGCCTGCCTCAGGACACGGGCTGGCGTCCACAGGACGCGCTGCTGAGATCTGTAGACAGCAAATAGGTCACAGGTGCACATGAGTGGCCAGTTAGTGGCCAGCTCATAGCGACCCCCAGCAAAGCACCCCAGTCATCAAGAACGCGCGAGATTTGTGGATGTTCCCACATCCGACACAAGACCACCCAAGCATCTGAAGCAAATATTAACAGACCTAAAGGGAGCACAGACGGCAACACGGTAACAGCAGGGACGGTAACACCCACTTCCGCCAAAGGGCAGACCGGGCCACAGAAGACCACGAAGGAAACATCCGTCTCCGGTGACACATCAGGCCACCTGCGCCTGAGAGCACACGGAATCCAGGCAAGAGCAGCAGCGCACCTCCCTCCAGGCGCCCGCGAGCCTCCCCGGACAGAGCGTATGTTGGGCCACAAAACAATCTTAATAAATTGAAGAAGACTGAAGTCGTATCGCACGCCTTTTCTGATCACAGGCATGTAAGTCTAGAAATCGATTGCAAGAAGGAAATTGAAAGTTTCACAAATGTGTGGAGACTAAACAACATGATACCGAACGCTCGGCTGCTCACAAAGAAATCAAAAAAGAATAAAAAATGTCTCGAGGAAAATGAAGATGAAAACACGACCTACCACACCTTATGGGAGGCACAAGCAGCAGCTCCCAGAGGACCACCGCTGCCTACGTGCAGAAAACCGTGCTGACCCCCGGGCCCACACAGACGCCAGCCTGCCGACCAGCGCCCCCACGGCTGCCTCCCGTCAGGCTCTCCCTCCCGGACGCTCAGGGTGGTCAGGACAGCAGGACTCTCACCACACATTCACGGCATAGGGTCATGAGCAGCTTCCACAGCTGAGGACCCAGACCCCCGCCGGGGCCTCTCCCCTCCCTGTCACGACTGATTTCAGGGCCAGGTGTCAGGCTCCCTGCTGACCAGGACACGCTGTCTCTTTGGACCACGATTCCCTGCCTGCCCTCTGCGGCGGTCAGGACAAGGCAGGGCTCTCTGGCGCTGCAGACTGGCCCGACTTGGGGTCCGGAGGCTGTGCAAGAGCCGGCTGCCCGGAGCCGTCCTGGTGAAGCAGGGCCGAGCTGCGCGGGGGCTGTGTCTCCACGCGGCCCCTTCCCTCTGGCTTCCCTGTTCACGTGCAGACGCGCTTCTGTTTTGACAGCACAGCAAATTTTTTCATACCTTTTCCCCTCTTTGCTGCCTCCTCCTATGTAGGGATGAAATGTGAACTGCTTCGCTCAGACAGATTTACGTCTAGGCCAATTTATAACGCACAAGACACTTTGCAAAAATCAATTCCCGTGGCTAGGTCCCTGCCGAAGGCGCGTGAGGGAGTCACAGCAGCCGACGGAGCAGGAGCAGCGCGCCCAGCAGGCACGGACACCCGACAGCACGGCAGGCTGGGGGGACACAGCACGCAGGACGGGGGGTGGGGGTGGGGCCCGTGGCCAGGCCCCGCCCTCCCGAGGGCTCATCTCCTCCGGCCTCTCTGGAGCTTGGGGCTCAGGCAGGGCCCTGCCCACGCTGCGCTCCAGCCTGGCCTCGGTCGGGCTCATACTCGTGGGTCCCACCCCACGGGGCCACGCGCCGACCCTGGGGCAGCCCGGGCTGGGGCCGTGTCTAGGGGACAGGGGCCCCCCGGTCTCTGGGGGCCGCGCTGGTGCAGGGCAGGGCCTCCGTGGGGGCAAACGGCTGTCAGCGACGCTCAGGGAGCAGCTCGCACTGTGGGTTCCTTGACCCTCTGACCTCAGATGCCTTGGGAAGAACTTTCCTGACTTCACATCATTTTTTCTTGAATTTCCCAGACGCCCCACAGGGGTGACCCTCGGCTGGGCTGTCCCAAGGAGCCCCAGGTGCCCAGCCATTCATGGCCGTGCCGCGGTGAGGGCCAGGCCTGCGAGCACCGGGAGCCCCAGGCCAGAGGGAGCCCCGGGCCACGGGCCACAGGGGACGCCCACTACCAGCCTGACCAGTGAGGGGGCGGACGCAGCCAGGGAGGCACAGTGGGCATCCCTGGGCTGTGTGGTGAGGCGGTGCTGAACCTGGGGCAGCGATTTAAATATGGGGGGCAACAGGACTCCTTGTCGCTTACCAGGGCTCCAGCCCCACTGAGAGCCGTGCCCATGTGGTAAATCTGTCCCACCAGACACGGCTAAGACATGGGCCAAAGGGCCTTGGGGGGGCTCCATGTGCAGATGGCGGCCACGGCTGGACCTGGGGAAACCCCACAGGCGCACACGCACCCCCCCACTGCTGGCCTTGCTGTCCCCCAGGCAACTGCCCCGCCCGGCCGGCCCTTCTCTTGCCACGGGCTCCCCGCACGGCTGGGACACTGGGGGGCTGTGGGCACAGGGCGTCCAGGCGCACGCGCAGCTGCACACGCACAGACACACACGTGTGCACAGGCAGGCGGCGGCTTCCCTGGGAAACAGCCTGATGGAGGCGCGTGTCAAAGCCAACGTGGTCGGGGCGGCAGGCTCGGGGGGCGGGACAGCTGCGTGAGCCCAGTTCCTGTCATAGAGTGTGGGGAGGACGCGGGCCTGAGGCCGCCCTGGGAGGCTGCACGGGGCTTGGGGCTCCGCGTGAAGCGCGACTGCAGTGTCCCACCTGGGGGCCGGGCCCGGCCAGTCCCGCCCGCCCCGCCGCCCGGGCCGCCCTCCTCAGAGCCGCAGCCCGGAGCTACTCACTCGCGGTCAGTCACCAGGTAGCCGCGCTCCTCCTGGGGAGGGGGGGCCTGCAGCTGCAGGCCCTGGCCGGGGCGGCCCCCCACCGCTGTCCCGGGGTGCCAGGCCCCCTGCTCGCGGCCCCCAGGCGGCAGCTCCCTGGAGTAGGTGCGGCTCCTCACATCTTCCGCCCCCGCGTGCTCCTCCTCCGAGGACGGGGGCACCTCCGACTTCTTCCTCTCCACGGTGAAGGGGGCCCGAGGGGGCGGGCCCCCGGGTAGGAGGCGGGCGCCGGTGCCTATGGAGGGGGCTTGGGGCGGGGGGCTCAGTCGAGGGGCCTGAGGGAGGGAGAGGCGGGTGAGCTGTGGGACTCGGCGCAGGAGCAGGTGACACAGCCCCCTGGCCCAGCCGCACCGCTCAGCTCAGACCCACCTGGCGGGCACCCGCCCGCCCCGCGTCTCTGCCGCAGACGCCGGCCACACGCCACCTGCACCCTGCCCGTGCACTGGCCGCAGCCCCGGCTCCCTCATGCCGCCCTCCCCGAGCGCCTCAGGACGCCCAGCAAGGCCAGAGGGAACTGAGTCCATCTTGAACACGGGTGGTTCGCGACTTTGCTTCAGGTTTGGAACGTGGAAGGGCGGGCGGGTGGGCGGTCCGGCCGGCTACAGCCTCGTTTCCAGGGGCACCGGGGACAGGTGAGGCCCCCCGGGGGATGGAGCCCGGGAGCCGGGGGCCTGACCGGATGAGAGTCCCCGGGCCGGGCCCACAGCTGTCTGTCCCCTCCCAAAGTGGGCCCCACCCAGATGTCCCACGCCTGCATCCCGGGACCCCGGGGATGCCCCGACCTGTGCAGGCCGGGAGCTGCTCTGGGGTGGAGGCCGGCCACAGCCCCGCTCCGGGAAGTGGCTCGGGCAGGGCCACGATTCCCCTCCGGTTTCCGGGCTCTGCACCCTCGGGGGTGTGCGGGGCCGAGGCTTTGGGAAAATGGCCGCCTGCGAGCGGTGGCTGCGGCAGGCGTGGGGACGTCACCACCCGCCGGTGTGAAGCCCCGTGCAGGAGCCACGTCTGCACCCACGCCCCGCGGGGCCGCCCACAGGGTCGGTTCCCTCCTCCCACTTTCCGCGTCTGTGCGACCTGGACACGCTTTGCCCGCTCGGTCTCCTGGCATTTCCCGGGGGCTACGAGGATTTTCCCTTTCTTTTCTGGGAACCGGCTTGTCCGCGACCTCCCGCCAGGCTCACCTCCTCCTGCGCTCGCCGGCTGGCGTCTCGCTCACGGGCACCTGCAAGAGACGGCCTTATGGACCCTCCGGGCGGTGGCTCTGCACAGAGGGGGGCACGCCCAGGCCCCCCGCAGGCCGGCGGTGGGGGAGCAGCCGCCCATGGAGGAGCCGTGTCCAGGCGCCCACCGGGCCAGGCACCCACGGGCAGCCCTGGGAAGGCTGCGGTTTCTCTGGAGAAACCCTCTCTGCGCCCAGCCCCCAGCCACTCACGGACACCCAGGCCGGTGGGCCCAGCCCCTGCCCCTCAGTCAGGTCAGCATGGCCCCAAGGACACACACAGCCTCGAACTCGCCCGACTGCAGCCGCCCACTCAGAGCCGGGGTGGGGTGAGGGGCGCTGGCCTCTGACTGACTGTTCCGCGGGCTCAGCCAGTAACGAGCGCTGACCTGACCCTGACGCATCCCGAGGGCCCCCGCCCAACAGGCCAGCCTCCCCGTCCACAGCCTCCCTTCCAGCCTCCCTCGAGGTCAGCGGCCTGGAGCGGGGTGAGCTCACCTGACAGGCCGTCGCTGCCCCTCCTGCCGCCGGGGTCTGGCAGGGCCGCCTGCTGGCCTGGGTCCTCTCCGGCCTCGCTGCTGGCGCTGTCCAGCTGCCCTCCCGGCCCCGCACCCCACGCAGCACTACCGGTCAGACGGGCCATGTCGTCGAGGCCCAGGGGGCCCGGCGCGTCCCCGTCAGCCTGGCGCTGTCCCAGGTCCCGCAGGAGCGCCTGGACGCCAGGGTCTGAAAAACACGCACAGCGGTGATGGGGGGATGCCGCGCCCAGGCCTCCCCACAACCCCCGCCAGCCGTCACCGGCTCGGGTCTCGGGATGTGGGGGCCGGGGAGGAGGAGGACGGCACAGACCAAGATGGGGGTCAGAGCCGGACACGCCAAGGGCAGCGCCACCTCCCACCCTGGGGTCTGGGCGGGAGCCGCGCCCCCCACTGCCCGGACAGAGCTGGCCTGGCCTGACCAGGCCGCCCAGCAGGCAGCAGGCCAGAGCAGCGAGGGAGGCCCTTCCAGGAAGACCCATGCCTGGCAGCCGCCCACCCGCCCCCCGCCCCCCGCACAGGCAGGGCCAGGCCAGGCGGACAGGGCTCCGCGCACCACGGGCCAGGCGCCCTGGGTCTCTGCAGGCAGCGAGGCGGCGCTTACAGCGATGAGCATGTTTCTGAGCACCAGAGACACTGCCCCGGGGCCGCAGGCGCGTCTCCTTCCTACTGGGACCTGGCCAGCCCTGAGGGGCGAAGCGTGAGCCTTGCCGTAGCCAGATGGCGAGCGGGGTCCTCGCCCTCTGGGGCCAGCTGCATGGCCGCCCGGTCTGCTGCCCAGCAGCCAGGCGAGGGCGTGTCTCGTGAGTGGGTCACTGGACAGCAGCGGGCGTCTCAGTCACGGGGCCCACACATGAGCACCGCAGGAGGGCTGCCGGGACCTCATGGCCTGGGCCTCGGGAGGGGCTATGGACACCCAGAGCTGGGCAGGCAGAGGCAGGCTGGGCTGGGGAGGGGCAGAACTGAGGGACAGTGAACCCTGTGGGACCTGGGGGAGCCCCAGTGCAGCCTCGAGGACCTGTGGGAGCCAGACGCTGTAGCAGCCCATGGGGGTTGGGCCCAGCGGGGCCCGGTTCAGGGAAAGCACCATGGATGCGGAGCGTGGAGCAGGGCACAGCTCAGCGGGAAGGGCCAGAACTGCGCGGCCGAGAGCGTGCAGGAACACTTGCCAGCGGGTCACTGGATGGAGGACAGGATCTTTAACGCGCTGCTTCAGAAACGTGTTTCTGGAGATGGCACAGTCAGCCAGGAAGTTCGGCAGGCAAAGCCCTCCGCCCGCGTGCTGGCCTGGCCTAGGGCCTGGCCCTGCCGCCATCCTTGTCCCCGTGCCAAGGGGTCCCCTGGAGCCCCAGCCCCGCACGTCCCAGCCTCAAGCTGCCTGAGCCTCGGCCCGGACCTGGCGGGAGTCAGGTGGGTCAGCCCCGGTCTGCCCACAAGGGTGGCCCCTCGAGGCTGCGCCCGTAGCTCCACGCCCGCCCGGGCCGGAGGGGAGCTGTGCTGACGCGTGCGGGGAGGGCGGCCGGCAGGAGCAGAGTCCCCGCGGGGAGGCGGCCGAGGGGCCCCGGAGACCATGCGAGCCGGGTCTGCACATGCTGGCCCCAGAGACAAAACAGGCCGGGTCTTCTGGGGTGTGTCCGGCCGCGTGTCTCTGAACCACTCGTCTGTCTCTGTCTGGGGGCCCAGGCTCGGTGACTGCCCCGCGTGTCCAGACACCCTCCCTGTGCCGGCACAGCCTCACCCCCGCGGCCTTCACCGCCACGCAGCCAGGCAGGCACAGCTCACTCCAGGTCCCGGCGGGGGCTGAGCTCAGGTCCGGGACTCCCCCGCCAGCCCCGCCGCCCGCGTCCCCCGCTCCGTGCTCCTTCCCCAGCCCAAACCACAAACTCCTAACCACACCCACCCCAGATCCCTAAACACAAATCCTGAACCACAGACGCCAAACCACAAACCACAGGACGTGTCCTGTCTAGCAGGTCAGCCCGCAAGGCGCAGGGACGCAGTCAGGGGGCGGCCTGTGCACTTTCAGCCATGCCAGAAAGGCAGACAGCAGGCAGGCTCTCCTGGGGAGAGCAGCGGAGGGATGCCCCACCGCGAGTGGCGCCGAGAAGGCTGGCCTGAGCCGGGCGGGGGCTGGGCAGTGGGAGGGCTGAGCCCAGGCCCTGAGTGGGCAGCAGGGACGCTGGCCGGCTGGGTGCAGGGGCAAGGCAGGCCCTAGCTGGTCAGAGGCCTGCAGACCACCCTCAGCACCAGGGATGCAGGCTGCTGTGCAGAAGCGCCGCTCCCGAGCTGGAGATAGGCCAGCAGGCTTCCGGCCAGGAGCAAGGCGCCCAGCACCATGGGCCGGAGACGTGTGTCTGAGGGGGCTGGGGCAGGAGGCGGCCAGGACCCATGCGGGTGGTGGGCAGTGAGTCAGGCAGGGTGGGCTGTGGAGTCGGGAAGGGGCCCCGCCAACCCACAAAGCCCCACCCGGGACCCGGGAACGCTAGGTTCCAGGGCAACTGCTGGGGAGACGGAGCCGGTCGGGCAGAAACCCCAAGGCCCTCAGCAAACAAGAAGGCATCTACAGGGACGCCCGGGCACCAGAGGAGAGGTGAGTCCCGGCCCCGGGCCCAGGCACAGCCCAGGCCTCGCAGTGTGCCAGTGCCTCCTCTGAGCACCAGTGCCCACGCCAGGAGCTCAGAAGGCCTCCTGCTGCGCTCACCACCCTGCTTCCATCGGTCTGTCTGTGGGAGGGGGCGGGCAGGTCTGGGAGGCCGCCAGAGGGATGCGTGCGCCTACCAGGCCCACGTGGCTCTTTGGACGGAACGAGGTTCCTAAAATGGTGTCCTCTGACCAAAGAGAAGCTTTTCAGGTTCTCCTTATGAGAAAGCCCATAGGAAGCCACGAGCGAGCAGCGCAGGCACAACGCAGCAACAGTGGCCTGCAGGTCAGCGCCGTGCCCACGTTGTCCTCCGCGGGCCCCCAGCGCTGCCGCCACCCAGACCACAGAGGGAATGGATTCTTATCAAAGCCTGGCGAGCCTCTCTGGACAGAGGGGCCACCACAGTCCTCCCGCATGTCAGTGACACATCCTTCCGTCCCTTCAGCTGCACCACGTCACCCTGAGACCAGGCAGCTCCCGGTGACACCTGAAGCAGCGTCCACACGCAGAGCTGACTCCAGCGGAGCAGCCACGCTGAGTCACAGCATCAGGCAAGGAAGGGCTGCCTGGAGAACGCTCCCATGCACGGGACCGCGGCCTGACATGCTGGGATTACAGGCCCCGGGCAGCCTCAGGACAGAATTGCTTTACACGCTGTGGATCACACACACTAGCACTGCCCTCAGGACTCTGCCACCACCCATCTGTGAGAGCACAGTTCAGCCATTTCCAGATACACACATCATCATCTCCACCATCACCTCCACCACCAGCACCACCATCACCATCACCACCATCACCATCACCACCATCACCACCATCACCATCACCACCATCACCATCACCATCACCACCACCATCACCACCATCACCATCACCACCATCACCACCATCACCATCACCATCACCACCATCATCACCACCACCACCATCACCACCATCACCATCACCACCATCACCACCATCACCATCACCATCACCACCATCACCACCATCATCGTCACCACCGTCACCACCATCACCACCATCACCATCACCACCATCACCATCACCATCAACACCATCACCACCATCACCATCACCACCATCACCATCACCATCACCATCATCACCATCACCACCGTCACCATCACCACCATCATCATCACCACCATCACCACCATCACCACTGTCACCACCATCACCATCACCACCATCACCATCACCATCACCACCATCACCACCATCACCATCAACACCATCACCACCATCACCATCACCACCATCACCATCAACACCATCACCACCATCATCACCACCACCATCACCATCACCACCACCACCATCACCACCACCATCACCACCATCACCACCATCACCATCACCATCACCACCATCACCATCACCACCATCACCATCACCATCACCACCATCACCATCACCACCATCACCACCACCACCATCACCATCACCACCATCACCATCACCACCATCACCACCATCACCATCACCACCATCACCACCATCACCACCATCACCATCACCACCATCACCATCACCACCATCACCACCATCACCACCATCACCATCACCACCATCACCATCACCACCATCACCATCACCATCACCACCATCACCATCACCACCATCACCACCATCACCACCATCACCACCATCACCATCACCACCATCACCACCATCACCATCACCACCATCACCACCATCACCATCACCACCATCACCACCATCACCACCATCACCATCACCATCACCACCATCACCACCATCACCACCATCACCATCACCACCATCACCACCATCACCACCATCACCATCACCACCATCACCATCACCACCATCACCACCATCACCATCACCACCATCACCACCATCACCATCACCATCACCACCATCATCACCACCACCACCATCACCACCATCACCATCACCACCATCACCATCACCACCATCACCACCATCACCACCATCACCACCATCACCATCAGCACCATCACCATCACCACCATCACCACCATCACCATCACCACCATCACCACCATCACCATCACCACCATCATCACCACCACCACCATCACCACCATCACCATCACCACCATCACCATCACCACCATCACCATCACCATCACCACCATCACCACCATCATCGTCACCACCGTCACCACCATCACCACCATCACCACCATCACCATCACCACCATCACCATCACCATCAACACCATCACCACCATCACCATCACCACCATCACCATCACCATCACCATCATCACCATCACCACCGTCACCATCACCATCACCACCATCATCATCACCACCATCACCACCATCACCACTGTCACCACCATCACCATCACCACCATCACCATCACCACCATCACCACCATCACCATCAACACCATCACCACCATCACCATCACCACCATCACCATCAACACCATCACCACCATCATCACCACCACCATCACCATCACCACCACCACCATCACCACCACCATCACCACCATCACCACCATCACCATCACCATCACCACCATCACCATCACCATCACCACCATCACCATCACCATCACCACCATCACCATCACCACCATCACCACCACCACCATCACCACCATCACCATCACCACCATCACCACCATCACCATCACCACCATCACCACCATCACCATCACCACCATCACCACCATCACCACCATCACCACCATCACCATCACCACCATCACCACCATCACCACCATCACCATCACCACCATCACCATCACCACCATCACCATCACCATCACCACCATCACCATCACCACCATCACCACCATCACCACCATCACCACCATCACCATCACCACCATCACCACCATCACCACCATCACCATCACCACCATCACCATCACCACCATCACCACCATCACCACCATCACCATCACCACCATCACCACTATCACAATCATCACTACCACCACCATCACCACTATCACCACCACCACCATCACCACCATCACCATCACCACCATCACCACCATCACCATCACCACCATCACCACCATCACCACCATCACCATCACCACCATCACCATCACCACCATCACCATCACCATCACCACCATCACCACCATCACCACCATCACCATCACCACTATCACTATCACCTCCACTCAATCTAATTCTCTCTCCACATGTGTAATAGTGAAGGAGAGAAAAACAAAATCAGCCTTGCGACTGTCACGTGACTTCAGCTGGTTGTGGAGTTGGCAGTCACTTTGCTTTATAGAGAATTTTCCATTTTGATTCACTTAACGGAAGTCTGTATGGGCAGAACATCCTTTTGCCTGTGAGGGGCAGCTCCTGGGTGTGGGCGGCGACGGTGGCAGAAAGGCTGCAGCGTGGGGAACTCAACTAATCCCGTGGGGCATCTGGTCCCACTCATGGAGATGCCTCTGACTGGAGCGGTGCGAACCCCCCTCTTGGTGGCAGTGCTTGGGGGCACAGCAACACCTTCCTAACTAGAGCTCGGTTTCTGACCCACCAGGCCCTTCGCCGCCCAGAACACCCTGGGTAGGCACGGAGACCCCAGCCCCGCACCTCACAGTGGGGGCGGCCTTTCTCAACCCCATCCTCTGTCCAGCTCCCCAACACCGCTGTGCCTCCAGAAGGACAGACCCCAGGGCAGGCACCACCATCCAGACTTCTCAGGCTGGAAGCGCAACTGGAGGGCCCAAGGCTGCAGGGGGCCCCAAGTCCAGGCTGCTGCAGAAGGCACCAGGGCTGACAGTGGGAGGAGGCAGGAGCAGTGGGCAGGTGCCTGACCCTCCCCCTGCAGGAGGAGGAGCTCAGCTTGGCACCCGTGTGGGAACTGGGCCCGGCCCAGGCGAGCATAAGGAGCGGCGGGTTCCCCTGCACAGCAGCGGCCCTCGCAGGAGAAGCCAGCTGGGCCACAAGGGCCACCTGGACACCACCAGGAGAGCGAGCTGGATGCAGCGACAGCCCCGTGCCCATCGGCACTCGGCAGACACCCCGGCCCGTCCTGCTCCCCCTCTCACCTCCCGTCCTCAGGGCCCTGGGACACTTGAGCGTCGGCAGGAACCGCAGACACTATACCCCCGAGGTGCTGGGCTGAGCAGTGAGCCCCGCACTCGGCGTCGCAAGCACCATGGCCCACAGCCTGGGCAGTTCAGCCCACTGCCCAGGCTCCCGCTGTCTGTCTGCGAGGCCACAGAACCATGGAGAGAGTGGGAAGGAGGAGGGTCAGGGCGGCTGCAGGCCAGGGCGTCAGCGTCAGCAGAGTTGCAGGGGTCCCCGCTCACGCACACCTGGTCTCCGCGGGGCCCACACCCCAGGACAGCAAGCATCCCCGCAAAGGGGACATGGTGGGCCAGCCCTGGGCAGGTGCTGAAAACCCAAACAGCCAACAAGAAGCACCAGGGCTGAAGGTGACTTACCAGTGCCCACACTCAGAGGGCCGAGGGGGTCTCCCAGAGATGAAGGCCATTTATGGGGGTCGGCAGGCACTGAGAGGACCCTCTGTGCTCTCCAAGGCCAGGGAAGAAGCTCCAGGGGCCCAGGGGCCCTGTCTCTGGGGGACACCGGGGGTTTTCGGGCCATGTGGGTGCCCAGAGCTGCAACCAGATTCTGCCTGTCCACGGTGCTGTCCCCCTTCGGGCTGAGATCGTCGGGCTGGAGGTGGCCGCGGGCTTGAGGCGGGAGGCTGCCTGGGTGATCGGCCTGGGGGCCGTAGGTCAGGGCGGACGTCTGGGTCATGTAGGTGAGCACGCTCTCGGGGAGGGGCTCGGCCCACTGCGGACAGAGAACAGCGGAGGTGAGTCTCTGGGGCCAAGCTCACCATGGAGCCGGGCCCCCCGCTCGCGCACACCTGTGGCTCCCGGAACACAGCTCCCAGACGTGAGGCCGCTGCTGGCGTCTGGAGTGTTGCGGGGCAGCTGGGCCTCCCCACCACCAGCCCGCACGGGCCCAAGGGCCGGCCTGACCGCCCGTCTGTCTGTGCTGCAGCTGCGGGCGCGCGGGGGCCGGCGCGTGCTGGGGCGTCAGCAAGAAGCAGGGCCCTCCCTCGCTGACCGATGGCCCCTGCTTAAGCACCAGCAGGTGGGCCTACCTCTGTCCACGCTGCGCAGGGCCTCCAAGCCCCAGACTGTCCGCAGCCCCCTGTGGGAGCCCGCGAGGAGGCTGGGGGCACCTTGCCTCCCCACCGCTGGTGCCCGCCCGCCACGGCCACCCGCCATCGGGAAGGGCTTCACGGGACGAGCCACCCGTGCGCCCGCCCCATGCCTCCTCGCCCACCGCGCAGGCTTCCTGGAGCGCCGGCCCTCATGTCCCCACTGGACAGGCCGCGGGGCGCACCGCGGGTGCCATGACATCGCTGAAAGTGGCGCCCTGGCCCTTCCTGGCCCCACCTCACTCAGCGGACGGAGTCTCCAAGTCACGCTGCCTGGTCCTTCTGTTTCCACTCTTCCTGGGGCTCGCGGGTGCCCCGGGCCTGGGGAGGGTGCCGGCCCTGGGCCTCAGGGGTGGTCCAGACCCTGAGAGTGTAAGCACTTGGGGGCAGCCTCCAGGAGAGGCCGGCGCGCCGTGCAGGGTCTCGGAGGCGGCGGCCTGGGCCCCGAGCCAGCTCCTGCCCTGGCAGCGCCAGCAGCCACTTAGCATCTTGAGACTTAATTTTCTTCTGCCAAAGATGATGGGACATTGTGCCTGAGACTGTTCCTATTTCTAAAATTATGTCACTGAAATTGCTGAATTTTGTCCTGGTTCCAGCTGAACTCAACGGCTTCTCCTTCGGAAAAGGAGGCCGCGGCCCGCGCCGTCTCGGAGCGCAGCCTCGGGGGAGGGCTGCAGGGAAGGATTTCTGGCTTCTTTGTGCCCGAATCTAATCAAGGCCAAGTGGGAAGCCTCCGAGTGGGCGGCTCAGACCGCAGGGGCCAGTGGTGTGGGGCTGGGGGTGGCTGCACGGCCGGGAAGAGCCGTGCGCTCCAGGGGCCTCCTGCAGCTTCGCACCCGAGGGCGCCACCTGTGGACCTGGGTGTGGGCCAGGGCTGAGCCGGCTCCGCGGCGGCTGGGTGAGCTGAGAGCCTGGGCACAGGGGGGACGTGGGTGGGGCAAGGCTGCGGACACCCTCCACCTCTCCTCGGCGGAGCAGGTCAGACAGCTGGGACGGCCGTGCCTGTCCACGTCGCTGCCCGTCACTCTGCCCTCCTCGCGTGTCTCTCGGAGAAGACGGACCCTTCTGGACGAGGTCCGACTCGGAGTTTTCCTGAGGGGCTGGGCTTTCCGCGAGGACGGCGTGGGCTGCGGGCCGGCGAGCCTCCGCTCCTGCCGCTCCCGTGCCGCCGGGACCCTCGCCCCCCAGCCGCCTCTGCCACCCGGGGCGGACGGAGCTGTCGCGCGGCCTCAGTTCATCCCTCGCTGCTTCCTCCTTCCGCTGCTCGCGCAGACGCCATTTTGAAGGCCCAGCACCTGGCGCCGGCCGGTAACAGACACAGTCGGCTCCTGAGCGTTTACCCGACTTTGCTGCACTTGCTTCTTCAGCCCGTCCTGGGGCTGCCGCTGCTGCGAGGCGGCGGCGTGCAGGGGACGCCGCCCGTGTCTCTTCTCACTTTGCCGCATGGCTGGGACCTGCGGTGCAGGCCCGGCAGGAGAGGGCGGAGCGGCCTGTCCGCTCGCCTTCCGGCAGGAGGTCCCGGGAGCCCCGGCTTCGATCAGGGACGGATGCCGGCGGCTTTGGTCGGATGCTGTCCCTGCGACTGGGGGGCTGTCCCCGAAGTCAGCTTTCTCTCGTGGGCACGGCGAGTCTGGGCGCGCAGCCCTCCGGTCTGGCCGGTCTGCACCGACGGGCCTGGTCTCCCTCGCCCGTGACGCTTTATCTTTTTTTTTTCGCTTTATCCTTTTGCTGCGCAGTTCTGGATTTGCTTTGTTACCGCTTTCTCCAATTACATTATTTGTATTGCGGTGACCACAGCGCATCTGCTTTAGGGGTGCAGGTTCACCTCCCGTAGATGCGCGTCGCCACAGTGCGCCCGCCGCCGGGCCCCCCCGGCCTGCACCTCGTCCCGGCGTCCGCCCTCCGCCTCTGTCGTCCTCCGGGGGGCAGGCGTTCCAGGCCCGGGACCCTTCCCTGTGCGACTCTGACGCTTTGACACTCACTGAGCTTTACCTTGGCTCAGCCGATGCTGTCCTGGGAAACGCCCCTTCCCTCCTGGGGGTCAGTCGCGCTCCCGCCGGAGCCTGGCCTCGGACGCTGGCTCCGGCCTTGGCCCCGGGGGCCCTCACGGCTCGCTGATCTGACGGAAGTCGCCGGCCTCCCGCCGAGCCCCTCGTCACGCTCACCTCAGGTCTCTTACTTGGCACCTTTTCTCGTTCATTTCCAGGACGCCCGCCGGGCCCTTCTCGAGGGCTCCTCTCCAGCGTCCACGACGCCCCTCGAGATGCTGTCCGCCCTCGCCTTCGGTGTGCGTGTCTTAGTCACCAAAACGTCCTTTCTAACTGCCCCAGCACCTGAGGTGTACCCGGGAGCGTGTTGATCGACCGTGTCTTCTCCTGACCGGTGTCTAATTTCTTGTTATTTCAGCTTCCTCCAAATTTCTGGCTGCGTGCTGGACATTCTGCGCAAGACAGTCATGACAAAGGCAGTAAATGGTATTTCTCCCTGGAAAATGGCTCGTCCCTTCCTCCGCCGGCTACTGCTGTGGAGGCTGAGGCACGTCAGCTGCGGCGGAGGCTGCTGTCCGCAGTCCCGGCTCGGACGCCTCCGCCTGCAGCCGCGTTGAGAGCAGCGGGCACCTCTTCACAGCAGTGCTGGGATCCACCCTGCAAGAGCGCGGGGCGCCCGGCCGCACGCAGCCGCTGGCGTCTGAGCCACGGGGTGTCTCCCCCACGGGGCAGCGGGCCCCCGCTGCCCTCTCCAAGCCCGAGAGCCAACGTGCCGGGCCGAAGGCTCCTTTCCGTCTCCCTGCCCACCTTAGCACGTGTATGGCAGCTCTCTCTCCCCAGCTGCACTGTCCCAAGTCTTCAGGGGGACACTGCGCTGTCCTGGGCACAGAGAGGCCTGGGGCTCCTCGGGGGGCCGCCTCAGTGCTGTCCCCTCTCCCAGCCTGTGGTGCGTGGTCCGTGTGCTCGGTGCCTCTGCGGCCGTCTCTGGAGAGTCCATCTCCCCACCCCCGGCACGCCCACCATTCCTGGAGTCCACTCCCTCCAGGGCTGTTCCCTCGCCCTGCTCCAGCCTGTGCAAAGGCAGCTGGGGCGCTCCCTCCCGAGGACGGCAGGGTGCCCGGAGCTTCCGGTCAGCTCTCCCCTGAGTCTTCAAGAGCTCCCTGCCAGCTGGCCGGCCTGCTCCTGCAGTCGGGGCAGGGCTGGGTGTCTCCTGACGGTCTGTTTAAGCCCACCTCAGCGCCTTCACCTGGCGATTCTAGCTGTTCTTCCGACACGCGACCTCTGAGAAAGCCGTGCCCGCCGCACTGCCCTCTCCGGCCCTACTGCCCTCTCCGGCCCTGCCACCGGCTCGCTGGCACCACCGCCCCTGCAGTCCTGCTCTTGCTCGGCTCATTTTCTCATCTCCGTGGTCCAGGAAGACTCAGCTCCTCACGGGCAGAGACTTTTCTTTCCAATCCAAGCACGGTTTCTGGTCCACTGAAGATGCTTAAAACAATGTTGTCAAACGAAGTCCGTTCATTCGGGGCGTGTCCAGACGACAGGTGTTGGTTTAAACCTCATCGACAGCGCAGAGCAAACAGGGGGCCGTGGGGGGCTCCACGGCCGCACACACTTGAGCCGGCGCCACTTGGTCAATACGAGCAGGAGCAGAGCAGCTTCCACCCCAGCCACACAGAAAGAGGAGTCGCGCTCGCCGGGTGATCAATACGAGCTCGATGAGAGTGTCAGCGTCGGGCCAGCTGGCCTGATTTAGGAGGAGCTGTGTGATTTCACTCCCTCTGGCTCTGCTCCGAAGCAATCAGTATCAAGGCGCTAAAGATAATAGACCCGCGATACCGCGCGCGGAGCCAGAGACAGGCTTTTGATGACAGATGCACAGAAAAAGATGATTTATAAAATAATTCATTGGAAACTGATTGCCCTGGGAAGCTCATCGGTGCACAAAGCTCACGGCGAGCCTTTCGTCAGCTGCAGGGAAGGGAGGAGGCAGCGGCCGAGTCCGCACGGGGCTGGGCGCCTGGGGACGGGCCCCCCACATTCACCAGTCTGTCCCCCGCGAGAGGACAAGGAGCCTCCTCGTTTAAACACTGGGCGGGAGAAGCAGCGAGCGCTAGGTTTTCACGCATCTCTTTTCTGGCTGTTGAGAAGAATCTATCTCAACACAGAAGAAAAATACTTGGCCCCGAATGCCCCAAGTCCTGTTTGCTGGACGACCTCGTGGCCGCCACGCTGGAGACTGTGCGGGGGGGCTGGGGCCGCTGGCACCCGGGAGGGGTGGGCAGCAGGCGTAGGCCCGAGCGTCTTGCCGGGCGGGACCTGCAGAGACCCCGGGGCCAAGCTCCACAGCAGCGTGGACGGGTCGCCGGCCAGGACGGGGAGCCCCGCGCCTGCTTCCGCCTCTTGAGAGGGGAGCACGAGGGGATGGCAGTCCTCTCCCAGGGTCGGTGGCCCAGGGTGGCACCAGAGCAGCGGCCCTGCACCCCCAAGCTGGCCTCCTCCCAGGACCGGCTCGCAGGGTGAGGTCGGGGTACGGACGTCAGCGCCTTCTGCCTGGAGCCGCTGAGCTGAAGGGCTGGGGGCGCAGGGGCCAGGACTGAGCCCTCACCTGGGTGGGGGGGTCCTTGCCATCCACAGGCCCTGCCTACCAAGCGCCGGCTGGGAGCTAGCAGGCGTGTGTCCCCAGCGGCGGCCGGCGGGCACGGCGCCCCCAGAGCTCAGATGCCCCATTCACACGGGGCCTCGCAGAGCCCTGCCGAGCGTCCACGCCGCCCCCCCAGGGGGTTTCAGTCCTTGTTTGGGGAGCAGATTCTGTCTTAGCGTGGCTGGTCCCACCTCGGGCCGCTGACCGACACCTTCATCGGGGAGACACGCCGAGCTGCTCCGCTTCCTTCCCTGCCCCCCACCCGGGTCTGCAGCTTCCTGACCCTCGGCGGCCAGGCCGGCTCTGGACAGCCCTCGGTCGCCGGCCGTCACGCGTGTCCCGTGGCCAGGGGACGACGCGAGGGCGCCTTTCCAGGAGCCAGAGCCACAGACGGCCTGGCCCGAGGCCCCGTCCTCCCGGCAGGGCCGAGGGTGCACACGGGCCTGGGGCCCACCCAGCCCTCAGCCCAGCCTGGGGGCCGCAGCCGCCCTGGGCCAGGCCCTGACCGTCCAGGCTGTGCCCAGCGGGGGCCTCCGGGGCCCAGCACCGTCTCCCCTCCCAGGAGGCTGCGCCCGTCGGGCAGGAGGGGGGGCCGCGGGGGCCGCGGGGCCGCGGGGTGGGGCTGGGCATGGGGGCGCAGGTCCCGGGCACCTGGGCGGGCGGGGCTCCTGGGGCCTCTGCCGAGTCCCGGGGGGCCCGACCACGACGCGCCGCCCCGGCTCGGGGCGCACATCTCGCTAGAGCCGCGGGGCGACGCCTCCCTCGGGCGCCCCTGGACGGAGCTGACCCCGCCCAGCCCGGCTGCACCCTCAGCCCCCGCCAGGGGCGCCCGGGCCGGACTCGGCGGGAGGGAGCGGGGGGCGCAGCAGAGGGCGCGCCCGCCAAGCCCCCAGCCGCGCCCCCCCCCCCGCCCCGCCCCTCCCCCCGCCCCTCCCCCGCCCCCCCTCGGGCCCGGCTCAGTCCCAGGACGCGCCCCTCGCTGGGAGGCGGCTTTTGGGGCCCCCCCGCCCCGCGTTGTCTGGCGGGCTCCGGCCTCGGGGCCTGGTCTCCGCCTACTCGCAGGGGCGCCCGCCCGCTCCGGGCACGCGGGGTTCGCCCGAAGAGGGGCCCCGGGGCCGCCCCCCACACAGGCCCTCCCCCCGCCCCCCCGCCCCCCCAGCCTCCAGACCGACCCGCGCTGGGAGGGCGGGGGAGGGGGAGAGCAAGGGGAGGGGGGAGGGGGAGAGCAGGAGGAAGGGGGAGGGGGAGCGGGGGCAGGGGGAGGGGGAGAGCAGGGGGGAGGGAGAGCAGGAGGAGGGGGGAAGGGGGGAGAGCAGGGGGGAGGGGAGGGGGAGGGGGAGAGGGGCAGGGGGAGGGGAGGGAGAGCAGGGGGAGGGGAGGGGAGGAGAGGGGGGAGGGGGGGGAGGGGGGGGGAGGGGAGGGGAGGAGAGCAGGGAGGGGAGGGGGAGAGCAGGGGGAGGGGAGGGGAGAGCAGGGGAGGGGAGAGGGAGAGCAGGGGAGGGGAGAGCAGGGGAGAGGGGGGAGAGGGGGAGAGGGGGGAGGGGAGAGCAGGAGGAGGGGGAGAGCAGGGGGCAGGGGGAGGAGAGCACGGAGGAGGGGGAGGGAGAGCGGGAGGAAGGGAGGGGGAGAGCAGGGGGAGGGAGGGGAGAGCAGGGGGAGGGGAGGGGGAGAGCAGGGGAGGGGGGAGGAGGAGCAGGGGGCAGGAGGAGGGGGAGAGCAGGGGGAGGGGGGAGGGGGAGAGCGGGGAGGAGGGAGGGGGAGAGCAGGGGGAGGGGGAGAGCAGGGGGAGGGGGAGGGGGAGAGCGGGAGGAGGGAGAGAGCAGGGGCAGGGGAGGGGGAGAGAGGGGAGGGGGAGGGGAGAGGGGAGGAGGGGAGGGGAGAGCAGGGGGAGGGGGAGGAGGAGCAGGGGGAGGGGAGAGCAGGGGAGGAGGGAGGGGGAGAGCGGGAGGAAGGGGAGGGGAGAGCAGGGGGAGGGGGAGAGCAGGGGGAGGGGAGAGCAGGGGAGGGGGAGGGGAGAGCAGGGGGGAGGGGAGGGGGAGAGGGAGGGGGAGGGGAGGGAGCAGGGGGAGGGGGGAGAGGGGGGGAGAGGGCAGGGAGGGGAGGGGGAGAGCAGGGGAGGGGGAGAGCAGGGGAGGGGGAGAGCAGGGGAGGGGAGAGGGGGAGAGCAGGGGGAGGGGGAGGGGAGAGCAGGGAGGGGGAGGGGAAGGGGAGGGTGGGGGAGGGGCGGAGGGGGAGGCGGGGGCCCGGCGCCCACCTTGCCCGGGCCGGAGCTCACCTGCGCGGGGGGCGCTGCGCGCTGCGCCCAGGGGTGCCCGCGGGGAGCGGCGGCCGCGGCCAGGGCGCGCAGGAGCGGCGGGGAGCGCTGCAGGGCGGCGGCCC